CAAAGAAAGCTCAAAGAGGTGAGAAAAAAGCAGTAAGGAACATCTTTCCACATATGCTTTTGGTCTTCTGGTACCCAATTAGAAATGTTTTTCAAAAGGGGGACTGAAACAACAAAACGGAAGGTCAAACACCCCAGTGGAGCCCACTTATCTCTCTCTTTTCTCATCAATTCTCTACATTTGATGGACCAAGGAAGACTTCATTGGATTCTGGGATAAGAGGTCTTGACATAGAGGGTTTGGTCAGTAAGATTGCTGAAAGCATATTGTGAGAAAATTTGCATGAATCTGATATAGTTTAAGTTATACACCAATAGCATTTGCCTTTATTTTCTTGTATCCATTTCTGATTTGTATACCTCATTAGTTGTACTCACTTAGCATCTGTCTTTGGATAACAGAAAACAATAAAGTAAGTTTATTAACTACAAAGTGCCTGGGAAGCTACATTTGGAGTGGCAAATTGTGTACATAATGTTTTTATTAAAGAAATAATGGACTTTATGGCTGTGTCTAGACTGGCAAATTTTTCTGCAAAAGCACCTGCTTTTGCAGAAAAACTTGCCAGCTGTCTACACTGGCCGCTTGAATTTCCGCAAGAACACTGACTTCCTACTGTCTGAAATCAGTGCTTCTTGCGGAAATACTGTGCTGTTCCCGTTCGGGCAAAAGTCCTTTTGCACAAAGCTTTTGCGCAAAAGGGCCAGTGTAGACAGCTCAGATTTGTTTTGCGCAAAAAAGCCCCAATCGCAAAAATGGCCATCGGGGCTTTTTTGCGCAAAAGCGCGTCTAAATTGGCACAGACACTTTTCTGCAAAAAGTGCTTTTGCGGAAAAGCGTCCGTGCTAGACGCTCTTTTCCGCAAATGCTTTTAATGGAAAAGTTTTCCGTTAAAAGCATTTGCGGAAAATCATGCCAGTCTAGATGTAGCCTATGTGAATTTGAATTATCCAGTTGATGGCTAGGCAGCACAGGACATACATTGCTAGGAGAAAATCTAGCACTGGGAGTCTGTTGTGGTTACCCCATACTATAAATAAGACTAGTAACAGCCAGTGGTGGCTGGCCGTAGCACTCACATAGTTAGGTGACCTGCATGCTGGAGGCTGTTTGTGACTAATCCAGGCTAGAGGCTACAGCAGAAAGGTATTGCAAAAAGAACTCCAAGTTAGAGGGCAAGGTGACTGTACTCATTAGTCTGGATTGTACCTGCTATGTCACAGTAACTACATTGATATTATCATAAAAATTGGTATAGTGGTGAATAAACCTGAATGGTTCTTATTGTTATATCAGAAACATTAAGTGCCTCTGTCTCTTAGAACTTAGCCATCTATAATTCTCTATAGTTTCAGAGATTTTTTTCAAACTTGCTCATTGCTATTGCTCTTGTGCAGCTCCTATGAAGTGATTAGGAGAAAGAACATGTAATATTGCTAGGTGCGCTATTTCTTTCTGGTCAAGGAGAAATGCTTTTGATACTGAGTGCGGTGTACTGGTCTGAGTGCCACTACAGAGGACACTTAAAGAGAAAAAGAATGAGTGTACTCTACAGCCTTAGCTGAGAGCCAGCTGGCTTTTAGCTCAAGTGGTAGCGGCTCATGCACTAAGCTCAAGAGGACCTAAATTCAGTCCTGTCTGTTGGCATTACACAGTATCAGGGGAAGATCTTGAAGTGGTGTAAATTGCCATAATTGACTGGCTTTTATGGAGTTATGACATTTACAGTAGCTTGTATCTGCCCACTACAGTAGACTTCCAATAATCCGGAACCTATGGGATTTAGGTGGTGCCGGATTATCAAATATGCCAGACTATCAGGAGGTAGTATAAGCAGGTTATATATATATACTGGATACATTATATACTGTATATAAAGTGTTCTTACCCCTTTTTATTGTACATTCTGTATACAGTATATTGTAACGTTTTAGTTTTTTTTAAGCCTTTTTTACCCTTTTTGCTCAGTTCAGCTGCTGCCGCTGTTACCTTGTGACTCTTTTTTTTTTTGCTGAAGCTCACTCACTAGGCTCTTGCCATTTTGATGCCGGATTATCAGGAGTGCTGGACTATTGGATGCCGGACTATTGGAGTTTTACTGTATATCACAAAAAGGACAGTTTGAACTATTCACTGCAAATATGAAGAAACATAGATCAGAGGCAGACATTCTGTTTTATTCTTCAAGCCCTGAAAGAGAGAGACACCCTTCCATACTTTCTCCTGCTTCCAATCTCTCTCTCAAGAGTTGGTCTTTTCTACTTTGAAGTGAGGGAAGATTTATTTAAATATCAAAGAATTATTGGATGACTTTAGCTGAAATGTGAGTCTCATCTGAACTACAGCCTAGCTCTCAATAAAATGATCAGAATCTTAGCAATGAGTTATGTGATAAAGAGTTGGAATTAGGGAGATCTGACGATGGCTGACTACTAAAAAACTTAAATTGTTGCTACCTCTAACCCTAACTCTTAGTAGGCGGGGAAAAAATAGCAGCTGGCATCCTTGTACGACATACATTTGAAGATCAAGAACTATCTCCAGAGCAAGCATATCTCACATTTGATGCTTTTAGTATTTATCCATAGGCACAGAATTCAGGCTTTTCCTTCAAGAACGTATTTTGGTAACAGTTAAGAATCTTTAAAGAATGTTGGGAAGCTTCTCCTATTCTGACATTGTAATTTGGCCCTAATATGAATAACTGTCATATATATGTGTGTGTATATAAGAAGCAAGGCAATATATTACTGACATCATGAAACAAAAGATATGCCAATAACTGAACAGAGAGAGTTTACAAACTACACACACACACACACACACACACACACACAGAGACAGAACATACTGTAAAGAGATAAATAAGGACAAATTAATATTTCTAAAGTGTTCTTTCTCTCCTTGATGTTCAGAAGTTTTAGACTGGTATCTCATTAACAGTAACTGAAGCCACATACAATAATCTTCATGCTTCTATTGCCATTAAAGAAACTGTGCAAATCTTTGCAAGAAGGTAGAAATATTTTACCAATTGAGTAATTGATCAAAGTCTGTTCATCATAAAAAAAAAAAAAAAAGAACAGAACTTCCAATGGAAACCAGCCTTTCTTCCATCAGCTAATATAATTTGTGATGGATGATTTGAGAATGCTCATGAGTAAGTGTAAAAGCTGTAAAGAAATTTGATTTAGGCTATAGCTTTAAAGATTTGAACCTGAACTGTACTGAAGTGTGATGACTGTTGCATCATTCTCACTTAACACAAATGCTATCGTTACAAAATCACCACAAGGAGTCTGCACTATGTCAAAAGTGGATTTTTGGAGAGTGTGAGGCAAAAAGGAGGCAAATCACAGAAAGAAGTCATCATCGATTCCTTGCTTCCATCATCCAAAGACGGACACAGAGAGCAAAGGGCCATTTTTGGCCAGCTTTGTCCTCATGCAAACAGGCCACTCAAGCCACTCTCATGGGTTCTCTGTTTGGGGATTGCAAGATCTTCTCAGCTGTGTCATGAGAAAAGATGTTCATACTGCAACAACAGTTTACTGACTATTACCCGGAATGCTCAAATCTGTTCCAAGTTGTCAAACAAGTTTTGTTTTGGTGCGTTTGATTTGCTAACCAAACTCTGTCTGGCCATGTGCTAAATAACGTAATAGTTAATGACTAGATTTGCAGAGTTTGGGACCCATGAAAGATATTTAAAACATCTTTAGAAATTAAGGCTTTTATGTCCTAGGTTTTATGCTTCACATTTTATAAATTTAGTGAAACCCAGCAAGAGTCTTAAATACCAACTTTGGTGGCATTTTAGTGTATACTAAAAATGTAAAAAATAAAAGGTTATACAATGAAATTTTAGCTATACAAATATGTCTTCAGAAAAAGATCAATTATAAATATGATTTCTGTGGGTGGAATGCTTAACTTTTAAAAATATGCATATTCAAGTATGCATTTAAAAAAAAGATTTACAAGATTAACACATTGTCGGCATGATGAAAAAACAAACCTTCCTTACCTTAGTTGAACTTAAATGGTGTGTTCTATCACTAGAATAACTTTGGGGTATTGGAGGATCAGGATAATCACCAGCACCTTTTGATGCATTCTTTTTGATGACTTCTACATAGGAAACAGGGAAGATGCCTTGTCTGTTGGATCCTGGTATTTTACCTTCATACCAATTTTGATCAACTCTCTTAAGAAGAATTACTCTGTCTCCCTGTAATGCATTATCAAAATTAATCATCAGTGGACAAGTGATAATATAAATTATTCAGAAAATAAAGTTCTCTCTCAATATATCAGAGTATTTTTTCATGGAAGTTCTGTGTGGCCCTGTCAGAGCCTTCAGAATCTGTTCCACTTTTCAAATAGCTTCACATAATGCTAGAATTCCAGCAAGACAGGACCTTGTGCTGGTCTATGAATGCCTTTCCTACACCAGATACTAAATAACAACTGAGGTGCTCTGCTCAGAACTAGATGTCTACCTGGCAGTACACTATTATTCTGCTAGACCCCTTCCTGCAATCAGTAATAGTTACTGTTATATTAATGTAAATGTTTTGCTTGTCACGTTGTTTAGTTTTGTATTTTTCTTGAAAAGCCAATGGGATTAAGAAAAAGGCCATACTACAGTGCTACCAGTACTAGGGATGTGAAGGACTAGTCGACTATCTGATAAGCAAATGCTAGACAGGCTAGACAACTAGTCGCTTCCTGCCCCCTTGCTGCCTCTTTCTGATAGGGGTACCAGTCTCCAGGCTCCATGTGGCGCTGCTGCTTAAAAACATGGCATGCAGCCCAGAGCCAGCTGGGGTGTCCCCAGGACGGCATTTCAAAGTGACAGCACTGTGTGGAACACAGGATCAGATGGGACTCCACCACTGAGTCCAGGCTCCATGTGGCACTGCCACTTTGAAATGCTGCGTAGAGCTTAATACTGGACTCCCCGTGGTGTTTCAAAGCGGCAGTGCAGCATGAGCCCAGGAGTCCCCAGCTGATCCAGGGCACCACAGGGCCATTTTGAAATGCCGCTTTCACCTTTGAAGTGTAGCAACAGCCCTAGGGGGCGCCCTATAGACTCTTACATTATTCAGTTACTCACAATTGAACATCCCTAACCAGTACAATTAGGAACTGATGGAAGCAGAGTATGCCACAAAGCTCAATAGGAATTTCTAGACTAAGATACAATTCAGCCGTGGCACTTAAGAACATGTCCAGATGAGCACATAATCATTTTCATCTTTTCAGCCAGCCTGGGAACTGGATTTCAAAAGTCAGTACTACTCCCTACTTTTCTCCTTATTAAGATTTCTTGGATTCCTGTTTGTTTTATACACCATATGTTGTATCATATCTCCTGCAGGACAACTTTTTTTCCAATCCCCACCCTCCCATCTTGATGTCCTCTTAGATTTATGTGATTTGTTTCTGTTGTTGATTTGTGAATACCATAAAAGCATCTCTAGTTGAAAAAACAAAAAACAAACAAGTGCCAGCTATTCTCTTATTAAAATGAGGCCAGCTGGAGAGCAACTTTTATTAATATAAAATCCTGTAGTGATAAGCGGTGTTTATAAATAGAAGCTCACATTGCAATATTAATGTTTTTATATTTACATTAAAAATTAATCCTTCACATCCCTCTTCCTGATTTATTAAGGTACAGGTTGGACCTCACTGGTCTGGCACTCTCAGGACCTGACTTGTCCTGAGCAAGGGGATTTGCCAGACCATGGAAGGTTCCTCCCCTCATGGCCATGCTGCACTGGGCTGTGCTTGCCCCTCTGCTGCCTCAGCCCCCCGAGGCTCTTCCAGGCCCAGCTAGTGCTGGGGCCGGAGCACCACGGCTACAGCTGTGCAGCTAGGGCTTAGCTCTACAGCTGCCTGGCTCTGCAGCTGGGACCAGAGCTCTGTAGCCGGGGCAGAGGGATGGGGCTGGAGCTTCACTACCTGGGCCAGAACTTCCTGGCTGCCGCTGGGGTCAGAGCTCCTTGGCCAAGGTTAGGGGCCAGCTCTGTTGGGGCCAAAAATCCTCGCCATGCTGTCAGTCTTCTGCCTCCCCCTTCCTCCTACTCTGGGCTCCCAGCTCAGTCACCGGCGCCCCTTAAAGTGCTCCTGCCTTGCCACCAGACCTCCCTCTTTCTGGGCTCTGTTGTCCAGGAATATCTGTGGTCCATGCTGGACCATGGATATAGCCAGACCAGGGAGACCCAGTTAAAAGAGGTACAACCAGTATACTAAACCAAATATAGGCCTGATCCAACCAGAGTGAAGTCAATGAAAAGACTCAGCACCTTCCATGGATGCCCTTTCATTACCAGATCATGTGGGGATTAAACATCTTATAATAAAGATGTTTCACTTGGTGAAATATATTAACATTTAATATCTTGCTATGTCTAATTTGGAATTTTTCAATAAAATGGTTAGATGTATATGTTTGTTTAAGATGTACTTGAAACAGCAAGAATTAGTATTACTATTAGAAAGAAAATATTGGCATTAAATCCAAGAAGAAATATTTGATTAGAAACTTGCACCAATTAAGTCGATATAAGGTACCTTACATTGATATAACTTTGTACTATAGATGAGGGGTAGGGAACCTATAGCCCAGAGGCTGGATGCGTCCCCCAGCTTGCCCGTATCTGGTCCCCGAGGCTCTGGACTCTCCCTAGCATTGGGAAAGCCCATGCTTGTGCTCCAGCCCCCCGGCTGTTCCCCTGCAGGGCTGGAGCACACAAAATCTACTAGCCCAGGCCCCTATAGGCTTTGGTGTGCAAGGCAATGTGGGGAGTGTCTTTTTCCTTCTCAGTCGGGAGCCGTCTCAGTTGAGGGTACTGTTTTTTGTTTTGTTTATGCTTCTCATTCGTGTGCAGCTCCCAACTGTGATTTTTCTGTTTCCCTGCACTCTGTAACCATGAATTACCATAGTCTAAAAGAAAGAAAGAAGAAAAAACAAACTGCAAATCTTGTTAAACAAGAAGGGGCTTGAAGTAAAAGCTATCCATAAATGGATGGCCAGCATCTAAGTGGAGTGCTGTCCATGAAATACTGGATCACTTCTATGACAGAGGATACTGCTGCGAAACTGTACAGAGGCAATAAGTAACTTGTAAGAAAATGGAATTTAGCTAACGTAGAAATGTGAAGACTGAGATTGTGTCTTTATGTTTATTTTCTGTGTAGCTTGTATTTATTTGCTCTTCCTCACAATTTCATCTTTTAATATCTGATTTTTCTATTAAACTTTTGTTTATTTTTACCCAAAGCAGGTCTCTGGTATGTAAACTGTGGGAAGTAATATGCCAAAGTGAACTGATCACTGCCATGAGGTTTTACTCCTTCAGAGGTGCCAAACCAGAGAAGAAGAGTCTGAATATCTCATAGTTAAGAACTCAGGGAAATAGATCTGGGGGAGCTTGGGATTGGAAAGGGCTGTGGAGCTCAACTGAGAGGAGTAACAAGGCTGGTTGAAGCTAGAGTTGAAACCATTTTGTAGGCTGGCTAGCAATGTCAGAGCTCTGAGTCATAGCAGCATGGTTTTAAGGAACCCAAAGTTATAAGGCAGGCAGTGATAGAATCCCTTATTGGGCTTGATAATCCACAAAATGCCAGAGTTGTTTCCAAAAAAGTCCATATACAAACTGTAACAGGTTTAAAATCTACTTTTATATACTCAAAACAGTTGGCGCATCTACAAAATTGCAGGTTTCACAACCATGGTTGAGGAAAGAGGCATTTGAAAAATGTGTACATGGGTAATTTAAATATGACTATGGCTATGTCTAGACTACGATCGTCTTCCCCAAGAGGAAATGCAATGGGACCGCTCATTTGCATATGTCGCACTCTCATTTTCATTTCCTCCTCGGATCCCTTTTGCGCAAAAAAAGCACTGTGTAGACGGCTCTACACAGCTCTTTTTTTATGGCAATTAGGCAGTTACCTAATTTGTACATGTAACCTGATGTTTGCATGTGTGTATCAGGGAAGTACAACCTAAATACCTGCCTAACACATTTACACCATTCACAAAAGTAGAGCTAGATACCTAGAGATACAAAGTAAAGAAGGTTAATTAAGTACTCTGAAAATATTCTTCTACTAGTATTTCAGAGTAGGAGAAACAACAGCTTTTATGTACACATTTTCAAATTGTGCTAGTTATAAACAGTTATTCAGTATAGATTTTTTTTTCACTGAAGATAACTAGATGTTACCTTTCTCAATGACAGTTCCACATTTGTGTCTGCATTGAAATTATATTTGGCAATAGCTTCTCCAATATCTCCAATTTGTGCTGGGGGAGGTGGCCTGGCAGGCTGTGCTTTTTCAGGGGGACAAAGTTTCTGAAAGGAGAACATGAATTTTTTTTGCATTATTTCCATGTAATTTGTGCATCTATTTTAATCCCATAAATTAAAACAACATACAAACCTCGACATAAGAAATTGGGAAAATTCCAACTCTCGCATGGTGCTCTCCCTCATACCAGTTTTGATCTATCTTCCTGAGGATATAGATGGTATCTCCTTTCTTAAAGGACAGTTCTCTGTAACAAATTCATTTTAGACAGATATTTTCAGGTTTGGTTAAGATGCTCTAATAACTTCAGAAATTCCAGTGCTGTTCACACACAGTTCAGATCTCAATGTATTTAAGAACATAAATATCTAATGAAGGAGCATCACTGCCATGCTTCGTATCCCTGTGGATGATATATAAATAAAGTCATTGTAAAATGCAGAGTGGTACACGCAATGGAAAGGAGAATCAATTCTGAATCTGAAACCTTGAGTATTTGCGTTTGGATTCTAATGTTGGTCCCTTAAAGAGACAGGCCTGATCTACATCATAGCCCATGGTGGGCAATAATTTTTGATCAAGAGCCACTCCAAGATTTTGGAAAATGGTCAAGAGCTGCACTTCTCGATGGAGAGGGTGCGGGTTTTGCAGAAGGGAGCTTGAGTAGAGGATTGGGATGCAGGAGAGGGTGTGGTGTCTGAGAGGGAGTTTAGGTGAAGTAGGGGATTGTGACCTAGGGCAGGGGATTAGAGTGCTGAGTCTGGAAGGAAGTAGAGGTGCTCAAGGCCCTGGAAGTTTTTTGCCTTCCTCTGTAGCATGGGGCATGGGTCACTTGTGGGAGGATTCTCTGCATCTTGGGGTCTTTGAACCATCGTTTCAAGGACTTCAATATCTGAGATATAGGTGAGAGGATTATTCTAGCAGTGGGTGAGTGAGATTCTGTGGCCTGCATCATGCAGGGGATCAGACTAGATAATCATAATGGTCTCATCTGCCCTTAAAGTCTTTGAGTATATGAGTGAATTTTGCCCTGGGGGAGGGGTGTAGCAGGGGCTGCTGGGTCATAAGAACATAAGAATGGCCATACTGGGTCAGACCAAAGGTCCATCTAGCCCATAGCCTGTCTGCCGACAGTGGCCAGCACCAGGTGCCCCAGAGGGGGTGGACCAAAGTCAATGATCAATCGATTTCTTTTGTGACATCCATCACCAGGGACACCATTTCTATCCCCTGGCTAATAGCCTTTTATGGACCTAACCTCCAGGAAATTATCTAGCTTCTCTTTAAACTCGGTTATAGACCTAACCTTCACAGCCTCCTTTGGCAAGGAGTTCCACAGGTTGACTATGCGCTGTGTGAAGAAGAACTTTAGTTTATTAGTTTAAAACCTACTACCCATTAATTTCATTTTGTGTCCTCTAGTTCTTCTATTATGGTAACTAATAAATAACTTTTCTTTATTCACCCTCTCCACAACCACTCATGATTTTATATACCTCTATCATATCCCCCTCAGTCTCCTCTTTTCTAAACTGAAAAGTCCCAGTCGCTTTAGCCTTTCTTCATATGAGACCCGTTCCAAACCCCTAATAATTTTAGTTGCACTTTTCTGAACTCTTTCTAAAGCCAAAATATCTTTTTTGAGGTGAGGAGACCACATCTGTACACAGTATTCAAGATGTGGGTGAACCATAGATTTATGCAGGGGCAGTAAGATATTCTGTATCTTATTTTCTATCCCTTTCTTAATAATTCCTAACATCCTATTTGCCTTTTTGACTGCTGCTGCACACTGTGTGGAAGTTTTCAGAGAATTATCCACGATAACTCCACGATCTCTTTCCTGATTTGCTATAGCCAATTAGTCCCCATCATACTGTATGTATAGTTGGGGTTATTTTTTCCAATGTGCATTACTTTACACTTATCCACATTAAATTTCATTTGCCATTTTGTTGCCCAATCACTCAGTTTGGTGAGATCTTTTTGAAGTTCTTCACAATCTGCTTCTGTCTTGACTATCTTAAACAGTTTACTATCATCCGCCAACTTTACCACCTCACTGCTTACCCCTTTTTCTGACGTACTTAAAAAACATTTTGCTATTTCTTTTTGAGTTTTTGGCTAGGTGTTCCTCAAAATCTTTTTTTGCTTTTCTTATTACATTTTTACACTTGTTTTGACAGTGTTTATGTTCCTTTCTATTTATCTCACTAGGATTGGACTTCCACTTCTTGAAAGATGCCTTTTTGTCCCTCACTGCTTCTTTTACATGGGGGTTAAGCCATGATGACTCTTTTTTAGGTCTCTTACTAGGTTTTTTAATTTGGGGTATGCATTTAATTTGGGCCTCTATTATGGTGTCTTTAAAAAGTTTCCATGCAGCTTGCAGGCATTTGGCTCTAGTCACTGTGCCTTTTAATTTCTGTTTAACTAACCTCCTCATTTTTGTGTAATCCCCCTTTTTGAAATTAAATGCCAGAGTGCTGGACTGCTGAGGTGTTCTTCCCACCACAGGAATGTTAAATGTTATTATATTATGGTCGCTATTCCCAAGCGGTCCTGTAACAGTTATCTCCTGGACCTGATCCTGTGCTCCACTCAGGGATTAAATCGAGAATTGCCTCTCCCCTTGTGGGTTCCTGTACCAGCTGCTCCAAGAAGCAGTCATTTAAGCCATTGAGAAATTTTCTCTCTGCTTCTCTTCCTGAGGTGACAAGTACCAGTCAATATGGGGATAATTAAAATCCCCCATTATTACAGAGTTTTTTATTTTGGTAGCCTCTCTAATCTTCCTCAGCTTTTCAATGTCAGTATCACTGTCCTGGTCAGGTGGTCGATAATATATCCCTACTGCTAAATTTTTATTATTAGAGTATGGAATTACTATCCATAGTGATTCTATTGAACATGTTGATTCATTTAAGATTTTTATTTCATTTGATTCTACATTATCTTTCACATACAGTGCCACTCTGCCACCCACATGGCCTGCTGTATCCTTCAGATATATTTTATATCCCGGTAAGATTGTGTCCCACAGATCTCCCTTATTCCACCAGGTTTCAGTGATGCCTATTATGTCAATCTCCTCTTTTAATACGAGGTACTCTAGTTCACCCATCTTATTAGTCAGACTCCTAGCATCTGTGTAGAAGCACTTTAAAAAATTGTCACTGTTTATTTGTCTGCCCTTCCCTGATGCATTGGATTCCTTTATATGCGGTTGTTTGTCTGCTCTGGCCATGGTTTGTCCTCTCCCCGCCTCTCTTTCTGACGACAGCCTAGAGAATCTCTATCAATGGATTCTCCTCTAAGAGAAATCTCCATCTGATTTATGTGGTTCAGCGCACCAATTGGCTTTCCTCCATTTCTTAGTTTCCATTTCTGCTCTACGGCCTTTTTAATGTTTAGTGCCAGCAGTCTGGTTCCACCCTGGTTTAGGTGGAGCCCATCCTTCCTGTATAGGCTCCCCCTCTCCCAAAAGTGTCCCCAGTTCCTAATAAATCTTATCCCTTCCTCCCTACACCATCGTCTCATCCACACATTGAGACTCAAGCTCTGCCTGCCTACCTGGCCCTACGCGTGGAACTGGAAGCATTTCCGAGAATGCTAACATAGAGGTCCTGGATTTCAGTCTCTTTCCTAGCAACCTAAATTTGGCCTCCAGGACATCTCTCCTACCCTTCCCTACATCATTGGTACCTACATGTACCATGACCATTGGCTCCTCCCCAGCACTGCACATAAGTCTATTTAGATGCCTCGAGAGATCCGCAACCTTTGCACCAGGCAGGCACGTCACCATACAGTTCTCCCGGTCATCACAAACCCAACTATCTAGGTTTCTAACAATCGAATCACCCACTACTAACACCTGCCTCTTCCTAACAACTGGCATTCCCTCCCCCTCAGAGGTATCTCTAGTGCGGAACACAGGAAGTTTTTATTAAAACCTTTAAACTAAAGTATAAAGACTGGCAAGAGTACCTTGGCCCCTTCCCAACTCCCTCTCAAAACTCCCTGTTTCCTGCTCCTGTTCACAAGCTCCCTGGTTGCTGACTCACAGCTTTATAAAGCCCTGGTAGCCCCGCCCCCTGACTAAGGCTCAGCCAATTAACAGAGGGAATTGGCTGGAAGGGAATTATGATCCGGGGCAGTGTGCAGAGGATTTGGGTGGTGACCTGCGGAGGGAGGTTTATGAGTTGGGGCCGGGAGTTAAGAAGTAGGAGGGTCTGGGATGCAAGAGGCAGGGGCTGAGGTACCACTCTGACTGGCCAGAATTTACTTACCTTAGGCAGCTGCCAGCCACCAGTTCAACAGGATCCCTGAGGTAGGCCCCCTCTTGCAGCAGTCTCAGCCATATGGGTTCCCTCCATGTGCTTGCTGCTCAGGGCCACACATCCCTGCGGGGCAAGAGACTTCACGCATGCTCCCCTGCCCCATGGCCAATCAGGGCAAGGGAGCATGTGAAGTCTCAGACCTCTGCCAGTCTCACATGGTGCCTAGAGGGAACCAACCACCAGCTGTTCTGAACAGCTTGCAGCTCCCTCTGTGCATCCCATGCCTCTGGGGGGAGGGGAGAAAAGGAGATTTTGCATGCTCTCAGGCCAATCATTGCAGCTGGGGGCATGCGAGTGCATGAAGTCTCTCACTCATTGCCAGGGTTGTGCGGCACATAGACAGAGCCACAAGCTGTTCATAACGGCTGGCAGTCCTGTCTATGCACCGCACAACCCTGGCAGGGGGCAAGAGAATTTGTGCACTCCCCTGCCCTGTGCAAACTCTCTCACCCCCAGCCAGCCATTCTGATCAGCTCACGGCTCTATGATGATTGCCCTGGGGGCAGGGAAACATGTAAAATCTCCTCCTACTTTCCGCCGCCAGGGGCACATGGCCTGTAGAGGAAACGGCCAGCTGTTTTGAACAGCTTGTGGTTCAATCTGTGTGACTCGTGCCCCGGGTGGTGCAGGGGGAGGAGACTTCTTACACCAATCAGGGCCTGTGGGCGGTAGCAAGAGACTTCGTGCACTCCCTGCAGGACATGGGCTAGATCAAACAGCTTGGCAGGCTGGATCGTGCCTACCCCTATCCACACAGCCATAAATACTTGTGGATCTGCATGCAAGCTTTGTCTCTTCTGTTCCACCTGTGTGGATGCTACTTGGTTCATAGGTGGGTAAGAGATCCGTCTGGTGCTCCCTTTTATAAAAGCAGAAAAGTGCACTACACATCATATTCCTCCCA